AATGTGCATGTATATATACATGTGCTTTAAAAAGAGCCATACAAAGGAGGAGTGAGGAAAATCAGAAAAGAGGGAGTGACAATATGCCAAGATTACAGATGTATAACAGATATATATGTGCTTGTAGAATTGCTATGGCTTCCTCATCTTTCAGCCTATATTTAAGTTGTATACATATTGGGATTTGTTGTTTTGTGGGGTACCAGCACTTTTTGGCAGAGAAAGCAAAAGACTTTGTAAAACTGCAACTCCCAGTATTCTATAGTTTTGAGTTATGGCAGTTAAAGTGGTGTCAAACTACATTTAATTATACTGTGCAGATGCATAGAATTGTGAATTGATGCAGGCGACCATGGTTTTGATCCAATTCACAAAGAAGGAGGAAAGTTGGGAGAGAAGGAAAAAGGAGGAAAGATAAATACAGGTGGGATTTTATTTCCTTTTAAATAAGGCCTATTAAATTAATTGGCACTGAATTCTGAACTTCTGTAGAGTGGAATTTAACTTGCTATGTGATGAAATATCCAATTTTCATCTAAAATATAATCTACACAGCTGTGTTTGTCCTTCAATAGGCTTGTCTTTTAAGAATCTTAAAATTTCTAGTACTCTCCCCTAGTCCACTTCTAAACATTAAATTCCCCTCCATAGTTCAATTGCTTTTGATTCTTACTTTAAGGCTATAATTTCTTTTGTTAAGTAATAAGTAGGTCAGATTGCCAGCAAGTAGTTCCAGTGGTTTCTTGATGATTTTTCAGTCTTTAATTAAAATCAAATGCAATTGGACATATATAATATCCTGAGGTTTGCCGCAGTACATTGAAGTCAGATTGTGCTGAAACCTCTTGAATGTGGGATACGTATGTTGTTTTTCTTTTGTAGTTCGTCCAGAATGTTTCAATGAAACTATATTACTATTATTCTGTTTATTTATACACTGATTTGTCTTTTCACAGGAGACTCAATGAGAATTTTCAAAGTGGTAATGGCTTTCTCAACCTGGGGATTGGGACCCCTGAGGGGGTCACGAGGGGATGTCAGAGGGATCACCAAAGACCATATTTCTGATGGACTTAAAAACCAAGTTTGGTCCAGATCCATCATTGTTTGAGTCCACAGTGTTGTCTGGATGTAGGTGAACTACAACTCCAAAACTCAAGGTCAATGCCTGCCAAACCTTTCCAGTATTTTCTGTTGATCATGGGAGTTCTGTGTGCCAAGTTTGGTTCAATTCCATTGTTGGTAGAGTTCAGAATGCTCTTTGATTGTAGGTTAACTATAAATCCCAGCAACTACAACTCCCAAATAACAAAATCACCCACCCCCAACCCCACCAGTATTCAAATTTGGGCGTATTGGGTATTTGTGCCAAATTTGGTCCAGTGAATGAAAATATATCCTGCATATCCAATATTACATTACGATACATAACAGTTGCAAAATTACAGTTGTGAAGTAGCAACTAAAATAATTTTGTGGTTGGGGGTCACCACAACATGAGGAACTGTATTAAAGGGCTGCAGCATTAGGAAAGTTGAGAACCACTGCTCTAAAAGTACTGGATTCCATTGGATCTTGAAATTTAGGCAGGGCAACTTCTATGTAGAACTTGGATAGGGACAGTCAGCAGATTCCAGGTGCTACAGGCTATATCACAGAGGAAGAAACTGGCAAGACAACTTCTGAGTATTCCTTGCCTAAGAGCACCCTACAAAATGTATGGGGTCCCCATAAGTCAACAGGCAACATGAAGACATACACATGTAGACCTCCATGTTAGTCTGCCCCAGAAAAGAGTCTTGTGGCATACTTCAAATTCATTTCAACATGAACCATCTACTTCCACAGATCCCTGGGGTAAAATTTGAGACTCTAACCCAAACCTTGTGCACTGAGCATATATATCAGAAGCTCTAAAATAATATCCCATGTATCCACGGAAGTGGATAGCAATCCACCTAGACTCATGTTAAAATGAATGTTTTGTTCTTACCATGAAACTCTTGTTATAGTGAAGACCTGTTTTAGTGAAGGCCTGTGGCCTCCATGTGTTTTGGATTTCAGCTCCTACAATTGCTGATTATTGTACAAACTGGTTAGGAGTTTCAAACTTCTGGAGGGCCACCAGTTGTGCAGACCTGTTGTAGTGGTATAATTACCACTGACAGAAACAGGAAGGCATGAAGCCTGATCTCAGTTCAATGAAGCATCACTACAGACCAAATGTTTTCTCAATAAACTTTGAACTTATGCCCAGGCTTAAAGACCATGTGAGTTTATCGTGGGTACGTGGTTTGTTCCAAATGACCTATACTCCAATTGATATTACAAGACGAGAAGCAGTGAAAGTATCTGCTGCAGTTATGACTACAGTTGCATCATCTTTTAAAATGCTTTAGGAATGCTGAACATATTTCACATAGTCCTAGTAAATATTCTGTCTTCCCATCCTATTCCTTAGTAACCTTGATGGAACAGTTGATTCTTGGCTTTCCCCTCCCCCAGTCAGTGTCCTATGCTTTTAGGTTGATGTCCTTGTCCACTTCTGTGGCTGATCTTTCAGTCGCTGAAAACCATTCTTTCACTGACATGATCACAGCGATAATAGCATTTCCTTTATAAGAACAGGAGCTCAGCTGAGCCCATTCTGAAAACCAGGTCTAGGGTTATCTGTGAAATTTCACTCAAATCGCAAGCTTTGATAATTCGATAAGCTGCCTGTCATTTTGAGTCAAAACACAAGGTTATTTGATCTCCTGTTTGCATTTCTGGGGGCAGAGTGCATCAAAGACCATCAGCGCAGACAGGTTGAAAGATGAATTGTATGGTGGTAACTCAACCAAGCAGCTTTTGGATATACTCATTGCCCGTTACAAAGTGATTATCTACCATTGACTTGTGGAGTTTTATCATTTGATTATGGCTACTATTTAAAGACTCTGAAAGGCACTAACTTATATTAAAAGAAATGAAGATTCAGAAAATAACAGAAAGACTATCCAGATATTTTCTTGAATTAACATTCAATGGTTTAGAGCACTGGTTCTCAACTGTTGGTCCCCAGATGTTTTGGCCTACAACTAGGATTTCTGGGAGTTGAAGGCCAAAACATCTGGGAACCCAAAGGTTGGGAACCACTGGTTTAGAGAGACTGTTTTAGATGTATGTAGAAACCTAAGGACCTTAAAGCAGCCACCTCTTCCTCTATATGGTGGTTCCCAACCTTTGGACCTCCAGATGTTTTGGACTTCAGCTCCCACAGTTCCTAACAGCTGGTAAGCTGGCTGGGATTTCTGGGAGTTGAAGTCCAAAACACCTGGAGGCCCAAAGGTTGCAAACCACTGCTCTACTGTATGCCATATTTTTTCTTTTCATAATGTATTATTTCATCTAATCCAGACATTAGCACAAGCTGAGGTTTAGAGGGTCATTTCAAAGACCTGCAGACATTGCTGCCACTGCTCCCTTATCCACCAATCTCCATCTGCTTTTGCGTCTACTTCCACTATTCTCTATCATCTTCCTACTGCAACCATTGTGGAGACCAGATGGAGGATGGTGCTGTAGGGGTGCGTCTCCCTGATATGGCATTTTTGTCACTGCAAAGCATATTGGCAAAAATCTAAAAGTTTGTACGGAGCATATTTTGTTAGAGACTGGGAGATAATGGGGAGCTACAATGGGGGGCAACACAATTCCCAGCGTACTCTACATTAACAACCAGTTTGTCTTCATTCTGCAAAAGAGAACTGGAAATTGGGATCAGAGTATGGTTCTGATTCAAGTAAACAGAGCAATCAAAAAGGTCTGGGCTTTAAATTACCGAGTGTATTGGGGGCACATTTAAAACCATATATACCCTGAAATATTTATATGTAAAAGGACTGCTGTTTTTTAACGGCTCAGAAAACACTGTGATATATCACCTTAGTTTTCCATAAGTCATAAATTACTTGAAAGCACACAAAAAACTGAACCATCCAATCTTACATGCCATATAATATTTGAATGGCAAATAATCCTACTTGTGTTCATGTTACTGGTGTCTTCTGGAGGAGAGTATCAACAAGCAATGAGTAGAGTTGATAAATCACATAGCTCAAACATAATTCAAAGCTGTCAGAGCTGATGAAAAAGTTTCTATTTCTTCCTATCTCTGGTTCTATCCATGTTAAACAGACCTTAATCTAATCTTAATTACAAAACAGAATAGTGTCTCATACAAAAGAACAAAAACAAGGTTTGGTGTTTGGATTTTTAAAACATTTTTTTCAAGCCATGGATGATTATATCCATGGGCTTATAGGCTATCCATGAGGACAAAGAAATCAGCAATCAATATTGCTCTCAGCCTAGAGACAAAGAAAGGAGCAAGATATGGAACTAGGACTCTATTTGTTTCTACAGCTAGAAGATGAGCAAAAGGGAAGTGGCTGTCTGAGAAGTTGGGTATGAGGCCATCAGCTGTGAGGCCTGATGTCAAACTACAAATAACAGCTACAAGTAACACACACAATGTATTTCTGACAGGATTTCAGAATAACAAGGTATATGCATCACCTCTTTCTCCAGTAGAATATGCTTTTTCCCTGAGATTGCTTTTGCTTTCTGTTTCCCTCCTTATGTTCTTTGGAAATTATACTCGACATGGGTAACAATCAAAGTCTTGCAAATTGTCTTTGAGCTTGAGTACATTTGGTTTAGTGGAAGGTAATTAAGAGTTGATATTTATCTGGCAGGATTTCCCTCAGCTGATAAAGCTAATTCGTTGATGGCTTTAATGATTCCATGGAAGAACACAATCCAGCAAACCAATGAAGCAAAACAATTTCTTTCCGACCTGTGATTAAACAGATGCCAAACTGCCCAATTACAGACTCGTTTAAATAAAGGAACTATACTCCTCCTATCCTCTGGATATAATAAAATATGACCTTTAGTTTTTTCCTCAGTAGCCAGATTGCAGTAGCATAACAATGGAAAGTAATAGTGGAACTCACTCTTTTGGAGGATTTAGGTCTTCTGGTCTGGTCTCAAAGAACTGAAAGACTTCATCACACTGAGATATGTGAGGGGGAAGCCTCACCAATGCCTGTTATGTACAAAAAAGAAAAATATTAAAGAAACAAAGATATGTAGTAACAAGGATGAAAATAGTATCATCGTTATATATATTATTCAAAGATACTAGTAAAGTGGAGAGGGGAAAGAATTTGCAAACAGGATTGCCCAGAACATTAAGTAAAGACACAACTTAGATTCAGCTGAATTTAGCATCTGTGCATTTAAGATACAGCCTGCCATCTGGTTGGGATGGAAGAAGCAACCTGTGGCTCTCTAGATGTTCTCTGATAACAAGTCTAATCAAACTTAACCAACAAAATCAATATTGAGAGATGATGATACTGATAGTCCAAAATAATCTAAAACAGGCATGGGCAAACTTCGGCCCTCCAGATGTTCTGGACTTCAATTCCTACAATCTCTTACAGCTGGTTTCCTGCCCATGCCAACTCTAGAGGGACACACATTCTTCAGTGTCCTGTTGAGCTGAATGTTTCTTAGGGTTAAGGGTAGATTGAATACAGAGCTATGCTTTTTTTGGGGGGGGGGGCAAAATGTGAGAATGGTGTGGAAAACATGTGGAAAACACATCACAAGGCGGAGTGACCTGCATGGGCTAGAGACAGGCATAGATTCAACCTGTTGTTTATTGGTTCAGTTGTTTCTGATTCTTCATGACTTCATGGACCAGCCCATGCCAGAACTCTGTTAGCCATCACCACCCCAACTCTTCAAGGTCAAGCCAGTTTCCATTATAGGCAGGCATGTAGCCGGGGGGGGGGGGGGGGGGGGGGGGGGGGGGGGGGGGCTTGAGGGGCTTAACCCCCCCCCCCCAAATTCTCAGGGTGTCCGCGAGAAGGCCTTACTGGTACATTATTTAAACTGTTATGTTTATTCATATCATGATCTGATCACCATGCTCAATATATCCCATATGCATGGGGTATTGGGATAATGATACAAAAGGTTTGCTAGGGTAGATCCTCTCTCACTCAGACTCGGCCCCTAGGGAGAATGGCTACTGTTAACTATAGTTCAAAAATATGATTTCCAAATTCCACATTTAAGTGATGACACTTAAGTTGTGAGTATTTCTATGTATAACATGTGAGAAACAAAAGTGAGTAAAGAAAATGACAAAGCAAATGAACTTAACATTTTATGGTCTAAATCCACTGTTGCTTCCACCTAGAATATACCAATTGAATCAATGAGAATTTGGTAAACAAACAAATACATAAGTTCTACTGATTCAATGGTCTCCTCTAAATGAGATCAGCTGCTTCGAGTCTGCTTTGTGGAGAGAAAAAGCAGGGTATAAATAAACATAATAATAATAATTATTATTATAACAATACTTTAAACTATGTGAAGTATTTTAAAGAAGGAAGTGACAACTCTGTGGAAAGACCTTCTAAAACTATGTTTAGGTGTTATAAAAGAAATAAAGTTGATCTTTCTATTACAAGGAACTCATGCTCAGTATTTAAAAAGAAACAAGATCAATTGCTTTGGATCAAAAGTGTTCTGTACTTGCACCATTAGAAATTTAAATCACTTCCTTTGACTTTATAATCTCATTTCCTTTGTAATTGACTTAGAAATTACCGGTTGTAACTTTAATTCAATGTAGCTGAAAATAAGACAAAACATCTTTTGTTCTTCACAATACCTCCAATTAATTTACTTTAGATTGATACTTTCCTTGTTCCAAAAAGCACTGTACTGTACTGCATTATCATTTGGGGGCTTGGTTAAAGGCTGAGCCATATGCTTTGATCATTATTTTGTCCAAAATGTCAGGACTATATTTGGAAATATGGCCATTAAAAATGTTAGAAATATTTCATTCCAATTTCTCAAGGATAGCGTTTATATAAGAAAACAAATAGTCACACAAGATCAAAAGCACACATTTTGTTGGCATTTTTAATGGCTCAAAAAGTGCAAAATACATCATGCGATCTTTCAAAGCCCATTAACTTCTTCACTGGGGAAAGAGGATTTTTTAAAAATCATAAGTCAAGAAATATTGTGCTGTGTATAGCAAACTTGTTTGGCAGTCTAGGAAGTACTCCATTTTGCCCAACCTGCAGATAGAGGAGGACAGGTATACATTTACAGCTCATTTCTTATCATTAAATTGAAAGCAAAACACACAGAACCCCCACAGCATAGTTAGAGGCCATTTTGTGCCTCTATATAGGCAAATTTGTGACTATACAGAGGTACAAATTGACCACTAACTATGCCATGGGGTGTTCTGTGGGTTTTGCTTTTAAATAGTCATTTCAGGCATTTGGACCACAAATGCATTCTTGGAATATTTCCAGACATTAAATAAGTCAACATACTTTTTCTCTCTCTCTGCAACAGGGTAAGAGCTATATTATAGCAATAGAGTAGTAAGTTGTCTCCTTGTAAACAACGGCCTAAAAAGGAATCTTTTCTGCTGCACATGCTAACCACATTCATGCCTAATCATGTTTCAAATTCAGTTTTTAACAGAGGAAGGAGATACACACACACCATATTTACGGCTCACCTTTTTTGGCTAAATGACAAAATTCAGGGGGTGCTTTACGTCATACAGTAATTTTAGTGCTGACCTATAGCAAAAGGGGAAGGTGCTTCAGGAGCTGCACCTGGAGCTCCTCTTTGAGAGACCACATCTCTAATTCAATTGCCTTGGCTCAATGCTATGCAATCCTGGGATTTGTAATTTGGTGAGGCATCAGCATTCTCTGGCAGATAAGGCTCAAGACCTTGTAAAACTATATACTAGGGGTCTTCCAGATTCGTAGGATTTGGCAGCTGAATCCCTGGAAACAGGGCGGGCAGAGGAAGTCAGAGACCAGCAATAACAAGGCTGGTCTTCAGCTGAATCAGCTGCCACGAGAGAAGAGCAGCCACGTGTGAGTCCCTCCCCTAGTCTTGCCAGAGCCAATCAGAAAAAGAAAGCAGATCACATGTCTTTTTGCAAAGCTGGCATTTGAGAGAGAGAGATGTGCTAGCTCCATGTGCTTCAGTGCCACTGTTTATGTTGTACTCCAGGCCAGGAAACCCTCTGACTTCAAACACCACACAGCTGAGTAAAATGCAAGCAGTTTATTGAAGATAATTAAAAGCAGTAGCAATAAAAAGCAATCCACAAAAATAGGTAAATCCGAATAGGTAGAAAAGATAGATAGGAACAGATAATCCAGGAAATTAGTCCATCAGAGTTCATGAAAACAAATACTGGCACTTCCAAGGCAAAACACCAAAGAACTTGAGCATGAAACAAACAAGGCACTTCAGCATGAAAATTACAAGGCACTTAATACAGGAATCTATCCAAGGCAAGGCTTCCAGGGATCTGGGACGAGATCTTGACTCAATTCCAATGTTGTTTCGTCTGGCTACAGATTCTGTACTTGACACTTTTATCCCCTAATTCTACTCTATATCTCAAGCGGCCAGGAATGGATTTCTTCTCAGCCTTGAATCTGCTATCAGTCTCTCTGCAATCTGGCAGAGCGTCTGAGAGCCTGGTTTGTTTTTCTTTGCTGACTGAAAGCACCTCCCCTATTTACTGGCTCATTAATTTCTGCAGCTGGACCAGGCGCCGAGACTTTCTCAAGCTCAAAGCCTTGGGAATTCTCTAGTAGCAATTCAGGCCTAGGGAACAGACCATCGTCCCTAAACCCTTCAGGAACATTCTCATCAGAAGAGTCACTTTGAACATGAATCACATTGTCATTCTTTGTATCCAGAGCAACCTCATCATTACACACATGAACCTCATTGTCACTCCCAACATCCAGAATACCCTGATCATTAGACCCAATCACAGGCTGAATTCCAACTGTTTAGTGATTTGGGAATGGATTGTTTTTTGAGAATTCCCTTTTCTTCTGCATTACATTTTCTTAATAATAATAATAATAATAATAATAACAACAACAACAACAACAACACTTTATTTGTACCCCACTACCATCTCCCCAAGGGACTCGGGACTCGGTGCGGCTTACATGAGGCCGAGCCCAAATACAATAATACAAGCAATAAACAACAATACAAGCAATTAAAATAAAAAACATAGACAATAAAATATACAACATTATCAATAAGACAACACACAATTAAAAACAGTGGGAAGGCCAAATATAAAATTAAAATTGGAAGTAATGCTGGGACATGAATGAAAAGGTGCTAGTGGTGTTTGCGGAAGGGCATACGAGCAGACCTAAAGAAATGTAAAGTGCTTGGAGGACAAAGTGCTATGGGATCATTTTCTTAGTTAAATATATTTCAATCCCCCTTTTATTTTCCTAGTAATTTCGCTAGGGAGTCAAAGAGTCACCTCTTTATTTATCCAGAATTCAGGTTGAGTAGTCTTATTCAAAACACTTGGGCTGAGAACTATTTTGAATTTCCGATTTATTTGAATTTTCAAATACCTATACTCGCATATACATAGATAATGGAATATCTTGATGAGAGCACTCAAATCTAAATGTGAAATTCATGTATGTTTCTAATACATCATATACACATTGCCTGAAGGTAATTTTGTGCTATATTTTAATATGTTTATGCACTGAAACAAAGTTTATGTCCACTGAAACATCACAAAGCAAAGTTGTCACTATCTCAGACATTCATGTGGACAATTTAGTGTTTGTAATGTTTATATGTTCTAATGTGCATTTTAATTTTAATTTTTAAATTTTAACTTAAATGTATTTTAATTGTTTGTTGTTCAAAGGTATTGAATTGTTGCCATATATAAGGCCATCTTGAGTCCCCTTCAGGGTAGAGAAAGGCGGGATACTAATAGAGTAAATATATATATATATATATATATATATAATTTAGGACTATTTTGAATTTTGGAATTACAGAAGAAGGATGTTCAACCTATATTGGAAAACATGTTATTGATGGTGTCACTACACTGTCTCACTGTCTCAGGTAGGAAAAAAAAATAAGGAAGAGGCGCAAAAGGGAAGAAAGAAAATGTTGTCTGATCTATGTCTCACTCATTATTATTGTGGGTACACTCTTATTTTTAGGAAATGGAAAACAGATTTTTACTTAATGTTTTTAATAAGAACAGAGGCAGAGTGAAAGAAAAGAAGACTGCGACCATAGCTCACCACTTCAATTTCCCCAAAGGAGCAGGAGACGGGATTAGAGAGCTTTACTCTGTCGAAACAAGCCTCTTGGTACCTATTTGTTTACTTACTAAATGTATGTTACCTCCCTTCCCCATTAAATTAGTGTTCAAAGCAGCTAACAATGAAATACAAATAAATTAATACATTTTATAATTAGAATGAAATACTTCACTAACTAATGAAAGCAATAAAATAACAGACCTTCCAATAAAAACACAATCATAAGAAGAAGTAAAAGACCGCTATCTTGGGTGTGTAAAGAAAAGGAATGGGTAGAGTAACATGCCTCCAGATCCCTAAGGATGAGCAAATAAAGGGAATTAAATTTGGGCAAATCTGGGTTATAAGAAAGCTTATGGAAGACACATTGCACCCACATTTAGTGGAGATCAATTTGTCTACAGCAGCGGGGAATCTATCAAAATCATGAAATGCCCTAGTATGACAAACCTAAGAAGAAGCTCTTTATTTTATATGGACCACAGCTGCTAAGATGAAAGAACAAAGCTGCTTCAGATGGACGGGTTTTGGAAGATTTCAATTCACACAACAAGAATGCCAAGCCTGCAAAGAGAGCAATCACCCACAGAATTCCAGTGGGCAAGAAACATTCAAGTGTGGCACACAGCATCTTTCTGATTAACAGCAAAACATTCAGGTTTCTGTTTATGTGTAGACATGAAAAGACCTATCCCCTGTTCCTTGACTTTGCATCTTAAAGTCTGCCATATCTCTGACAGAAAGAGGCTAACAACTGGAGCAGAGCTGTTTACTCTACCCTCTACAGAGTACTGAAACCTCATACAGCCCTTGGGAGGTCTGCTAAGCAGAGGTAGCATATTCTCATTCTTGACTTGAAAAAGTTCCCCACATCATTCTTCTCCAGTCTTTTGCCCTCCAGATGTAGGGCTACAACTTTCACCATGGCCAGCAAGATTTGGCATTCAGAATGGAGATAACAGGAACTATAGTCCAAAACATCCAGGGTGTATCAAGCTAGGAAAGGCTGACCTACACAATCTGAATTTAAAATTATGTTTTGCTACAATACCCTTCTTTACATAGGTTTTTGAAATGAAAACAGTAGTTAGAGTGTCAAACTTGATTTGCATCCCTGGGGCTCATAATCTGATTTGTATCCCCAAAATTCACTTATCTAAAGGTCTCTCAATTATTTCACAAATTGATGTGTAGATGTGTCCATGAACCTCCAAGTTACCCATCAAGTTCTGGTGCCCCATGAATTTCATACGGTTTTTTAAGGCAAGGAATACCCAGAAGTGATTTTGCCTTTTTCTTACTCTGAAATAGAGTCTGGTGTTCATTTAGAAGCCTATGAAATGACACAGATCCAGACCATTTGACTAACGGTATCTCCACCTACAAACCAACTTTGTCATTGGAGGCAGTGGGAACAAGAGAGAGGGGCTTCTTTGTGATGGTCCCCCCTCCTCTGAAAGTCCCTCCCTAAAGAAATAATCCCCTCCCTCCTCTCCTTCAAAGAAAAAGCTAAAAACCTATCTTTGCTCACAAGCATATGGAGTGGAGAAGGATTAGTTGAAGAGAAACAACTACCACACTCAGACCTTGTTAGATCACATTAGCCCATTTAACAACTTTGGCCATACAGTCTATGCACACATTTGTGAAATTTTGTGTTGTTTTGATATATTAATTCTCATGTTTTATATTCAAGTTCTATGTTGGTTATAACTTTCAATTGATTATGTTTTATGTATTGTCGAAGGCTTAATACATGCAGGCGAAACGTCAGGAGAGAATGCTTCTAGAACATGGCTATATAGCCCGAAAAACCTACAACAACCCAGTGATTATGTTTTATTTAAATTGTAGTTGTTATGCTTAAATTGATCTTTATGTGGGGTTATTTTGGGCTATTACATTTGTATTTACTGTTATTGAGGCATTGAATGTTTGCCTTTTTGTTTGTTGGAATTGCCCTTCCTGCAGATATTAGATCGACCCCCTCCTTGCTGGCATTCCGGAGGAAAGTAAAGACCTGGCTGTTTGAACAGGCATTCGACTAAGCAGTGTGATTGATTGATTGACTATCGGAACACGGAATATTGGATAACGAGTTTGGATTCTGATTTCATTGATGAGACCTGATGGATTTGTTATAGTGATGTAGTGATGTATTGATATTGATGTTTAATGATTTGTGATGCTATTGCTTTTTAATGCTTAATGATTTTGTATTGTGTATACCTAAATTGTTGTAAACCGCTCTGAGTCGCCTAAGGGCTGAGAAGAGTGGTATACAAATAAAGCAAATAAATAAATAAATAAATGGGATCCACCCTGAGTCCACCAGGGGAGATAGGGTGGAATATAAATAAAGTTTTATATTATATTATACTAAAATCTTGGTTAGCCTTCTCTTTTCCATACCATAGATATGGAATGTAAATCTATCTTCATTTCAACCACTGCATGTTTTTTTCCAGCCCAAGCTGAAGTTTGAACTTTGCCCCGTATTGATTAGACAATAAAAGGAGTCTGATTCCACTAAAAGGAAGTGCTGTGGTAGGTTATTCTGACAGAGAAAGTAAACAAGGCCAAGATGAATATTGTCATGGAGTGCCATTGTTTGTAGCCAACACTGATATAAGACTTTTTCAAAGATGTATTTCTTATAGTCATCCAGGATGGTCTGCTTTTTAAGTTAATTGCATTTCAGATAAGTAACCAGCTTCTGGTTTCTGGGGGTCAGAGGTGGCCCTTCCAACCTTGGAATGAATTCCTATCTTCTGAGCCACATGTCTGTTCAGTGAACCCATGACACTATTTCTTATGCTCATGTTTTGCACAGTTCCTGACTGAACAATTAATGTGGTGGATACAGTGCTTGTGGATGGTTATGGGCAGCCCTTAGGCCTTGATCTAACAGACAGCGCACCAATTGTTACAAAGAAGACTTGATCTCATATGATAAGATTTTAATTCCATTTCCTTAGCCAAAGGGTTCAGAATTAATTACTTATTTTTTGTTCCTTCAGATGCCTAAAATCTGGTGCAAGCCATTAGCAATATATTTCAAGAACATTGTTTGCCCTGTACCAAAAATGCTGAACTAATTTTAGAAAGGCTATCAAAGTTCCCATTAGTCAGCAAACGATACTGCAAGTGTCACAGCATTGTTTCTATGCAACTATATTCAGTGCCGCATTCACTGTGCACTATCAACTGTCCTCTAAAAGGAATTCTTACCCTGCAGTAATCATCAATGGGCCTTAGTCTCTTCACAGCTACATCTCGAATATGACTTCTTCGGAACAGGATTTTGCCTGCAAAAAAAGAGAAGAAGATGATGAGGGTGACATTCGCTGCTTATCCATTTTGATTTCTGCCTTTGCTTTCATCTTTGAAGAGACTATACTTCAAAATAATCCAACAAGTGAAATATTTTCAAAGCATCAATGGCCTCTACATATTGTAAATGTCTGCACTTTCCTTGCCTGGTTCCCCAAACAAGAAGTAAACTACTAGGATGAGTTTGAAACCAATTAGGTTTTTTTGGTCAGGTTGTAAAAATGGCCAGAAAAAAAAACAGGTGATAAAACTTCACCATAACCTCATTTACTCAGGAGTAAAGCTGTAATTTCCTTACATTGTGATACGGACATAATATAGTAAAAGAGGACTTTTGCTAACTGTGAGACACTCCTTAAGATGGCAAAAATTATACTAGTAAGGACATGGAGAAAAAGATGTGGAACGAATGAATATAAGGGGGAATCAAGAAAGGGGAAGAGACAACATTGGACACTCAGCTATGTTGAATCCATTGTATAGAAGAAACATGAAGAGATGAGTTTGTGAAAAAAATCATGTCAGCCTTTTTGATGCAAGCAAAGTCTATGGGAATCCCATTTTCAGCTTAGAATGGTCACCAACTGGTATTGTTACATTTTTTCATATCAGGAGTGACTTGAGAAACTGCAAGTCGCTTCTGATGTGAGAGAATTGGCCATCTGCAAAAATGTTGCCTAGGGGATGCCCGAATGTTTTACCATTCTGTGGGAGGCTTCTCTCATGTCCCCACATGAGCAGTTGGGGCTGACAGACGGGAGCTCACCCTGCTCCCCAGATTCAGCTCCCCGGATTCGAACCACCGACCTTTTGGTCAGTAGTCCTGCTGGCACAAGGGTTTAACCCATTGTGCCATTGGCGGCTCCTAGTGTTAAATGATTCCCTTTCAAAGCACCTTTACAGTGAAAGTTTCCCAAAATATATGAATGTATCAAAATATTTCAAGACCTAGAACAAACAGTTGAAGAAACAAAAAAAAGATACATCTGAGCATGTCCAAATTGCGTTTTCCCTTCCCACAGAATAACCTGGGACTCTTCCACACTACTCTATTATAGCACTTTAGTTGCCATGGCTACATCCTATGGAATTCCAGGATTTATACTTTGGTGAAGTAGTGGAATGCTCTGGATGAGAATTGTAAATACGTCTCTCTAAACGGCAAATCCTACAACTTCATAGGACAATGGTTCTCAATCTGTGGGTGCCCAGAGGTTTTGGCCTTCACTCCCAGAAGCCCTAATAGCTGGTAAACTGGCTGGGATTTCAGGGAGTTATAAGCCAAAACACCCGGGGACTCACAGGTTGAGAACCACTGTCACAGGACAAAACCACAGGAGATGAAGTGGTGTCATAGTGCTATAAATACATAGGCAATAATGTAGTCACTATCAATATGTCAACAGAACTATTACCTGTGGTTTCCTAGTAAATCATCTTAAACTTGGTAAGCAAAATTATGCTAAATTTTGTTAACGTGTAGAATTCTTATATCCACCTGGATGTGATCCCTCAACAAGAGACTACATGGGGAAATTACTTCACATCTATTACACTACAGGCTGCACACAGCAATTTGCCGGACCGGAACTTAACTCTTCCTGCCAAATCACTGGCTGATGCTGCCTGCTTTCGCAAGACGCATTTCTGGTTCCCAGGATAGGAAAATGACTCTTGGGCTCTCAATAACGGATCGTTGCTTACAGGACATCAGTTCAATAGGAATTGGCACAGTTAGGTCTAGCAGGGCTAAGTGACAGCCGATGTAATTTCCTGTAGTGTAATATAGTTCCTCAGAGTTAAAAATATCTGGGTTGTTTGTCCATGGATGAGAACACTTCCCCAAGGGCAGGGATGTTTCTTTGCATGTTCCCCTGACTCTAGACTTCTCAGGGAAAGAGAAGCCTAACAACAAATAAGGAAAAATAAAAAAGAAAACATCTTCCTGTAATAATTCAGCTAGTGCTTAGTGAAGCCTTTCTAAAATGGTGCCACTAGAGTCAGCTCAAGACATTTAGTAGCTCTGAGGCACACTAACAAATGTTGCTGCATCACATCTACTAACTCCGGCCCCTTCCACACAGCTGAATAAAATCCCACATTTTCTGCTTTGAACTGGAACATATGGCAGTGTGGACTTAAATTTTTATTTATTGTGTCAGGGGCAACTAGACCATTGTATTACATTTCTAACAGAACAAAACAAACAGACAGACAAAACACAAAGTTTGCAAGCAAATGTCCTTTGACCAGAATCTGGCCACTTGGAGTGCCTCTGGTGTTGCCGCAAGAAGGTCCTCCATTGTGTATGTAGCAGAGCTCAGGTTGCATTGCAGCAGGTGGTCAGTGGTTTGCTCTTCTCCACACTCGCATGTCGTGGCTTCCACTTTGTAGCCCCATTTCTTAAGGTTGGCTCTGCATCTCGTGGTGACAGAGCACAGTATGTTCAGCACCTTCCAAGTTGCCCAGTTTTCTGTGTGCCCGGGGGGGGGGGGGGGGGGAGTCTCTCATTTGGTATCAGCCATTGGTTGAGGGTTTCAGCTTAAATAAACCAGTTTAAATGGACTTAAATAAACCAATTCAAAGCATATATTGTGGGATTGGGTTGTTGTGAGTTTTCCAGGCTGCATAGCCATGTTCCAGAAGCATTATGGAGAGAGAGAATGCTTCTGGAACATGGCCATAAAGACTGGAAAACTCACAGCAACCCAGTGATTCCACCCATGAAAGCCTTTGACAATACATTGTGGGATTTTCTGACTTGATATTCTGGGTTATATGGTTGTGTGGAAGGGCCCTCTGATGTTAGTATTTAGGCAGCTTGTTTTGGCACAGGCAGACAAATCCATCTCTAACAGTGAAAATAAAATAATAACAAATAACTAATTATGTGATTCACTTTCATGAAACCCCAAAATCGGAGCCTACACAGTAATTGGATCTGCTTCTTACCACCACAGGAACACATACGTACTACTCTCCTGCCATTCTTTGTGCACCTTCTGGGTTCTGTTTCCATGCAAACCCTCCTATATAGACAATATAACTTAGTAAATATATCATGGTTTTGCCAGTATTTGGCACAATCAAGAATTGGCAAGGCTTAACTACGGGCAGAAATCTTTCCTTTACATTGTTGCATTACAAGGCCATGCCAAAGAATAAAGGTATCTTTATTTTAGGTTTGTGTGTGTTTTAGTTAATAGGGAAGAATCAAACGGCCCCTCTTAAATATTGCAAACCAACTTGCTACAGCTCTGGAAGTTTTATACATGTGACATAAAGAATGAAGTTTCTATTCTCTGGTTTTCCCATTTCCAATCCAAGCCACAAACTGAAAGCCAAGCTAGTGGTGACCATATTTTTGAAAGTATAAAGCAACCAAAGGGCTCCTGAAATGGTAATTCTGCATCCCTAAATGGATGGTTTACAAAGAGGGCTAGTTGCTGCCAAGAGCTTCAAAGTACTATAATCAATATGAGCCTTTAACATGAGAAACAAGGTAAGTAATGTTTTGTGATAACTACAGAGTCAAAAATAGCAATTTCTTTAAACAGATGGATGAGATTCCACGATAGGTTCCATCTTCATTAATTCCTTATATGTCACTTAAAATTATATATTTGATAATTGATATTTTTCTTCTTCTTCTTGAGAGAACATCTTTGTAAGAATTTCTAGGTTTTCTATAGCGCTACTCTATGGTTAAATTATGCCAGAGAAGAAGTACGAAAAGACCTGGATAAATAAATAGCTGTTACTCAGATTTTTTTTATTTCAATGATAGTCTTTTCTTCTATTGTGCGCTTTCCCTTCTGTCTCTTCTTTCATCTGCCTCTCACTCCCTCACTTGCTCTCACATATTCATGAGAATATAATCTTCCTTATTTTGAAGTTGTTTGAAATGTACCTAATAGGTATGAATCATTACAGCCCCAGTAGTGCAGCAGGTTAAACCACTAAGCTGCTAAAATTGCTGACTGAAAGGTGAGCGGTTTGAATCCAGGAAGTGGGATGAGCTCCTGCTGTTAGCCCCAGCTTCTGCCAACCTAGCAGTTCAAAAACATGCAAATGTGAGTAGATCAATAGATACCGCTTTGGTGGGAAGGTTAACAGCACTCCATGCAGTCATGCTGGCCACATGACCTTGGTGGTGTCTACGGACAATGCTAGCTCTTCGACTTAGAAATGGAGATGAGTACCACCCCTCTGAGTTGGACAAGACTAGACTAAAACGATCAAAGGTCTGGAGAACAAGCCCTATGAGGAGCGGCTTAAAGAGCTGGGCATGTTTAGCCTGGAGAAGAGAAGGCTGAGAGGAGACATGATAGCCATGTATAAATATGTGAGAGGAAGTCATAGGGAGGAGGGAGCAAGCTTGTTTTTTGCTGCTCTGGAGACTAGGACGCGGAACAATGGCTTCAAACTACAAGAGTGGAGATTCCATCTGAACATTAGGAAGAACTTCCTGTGAGAACTGTTAAGCATGGAACTCTCTGCCCCAGAGTGTGGTAGAGGCTCCTTCCTTGGAGGCTTTTAAACAGAGGCTGGATGTCCATCTGTCAGGGGTGCTTTGAATGCAATTTTTCTGCTTCTTGGCAAAGGGTTGGACTGGATGGCCCATAGAACTGTACGATTCTATGATTCTATGATTTACCTTTACCTTATTCCAGTCACAGAATCTGCTTAGTTGCTTTTCCCTGCATAGATTTTGGGCTTAGTGTGCAATCCCTTTACTCATAAGAAAGAACAAGTTGTTGCTTAAAGATTTATTGAAGGCCCAGAACATTGAAAAATTTCATTGACTGCCAAAATGTTTGCGATAATTTGTACTGGCCAATCCTCAGGAAGGGATTTCTGGCAATTCAAATCAACTTACTAATTGAATTCACTCTTAAGCCCCCATTAGATTTCCCTTGGTTTAAAACAAAGCAAAACAAAATGAATGAATGAAAGTAAAAAAAAAAAATGAGAG